GTTTGACTAGGGGGTTACAAAAAACAACAATCACCACAATAAGAACAGCTAATATTTATTGACTATTTTCTTTAGGCCAGGCTGTGTAGCACTTAACATCTGTTATGTCATTTAATTAACACAATAAATTGATGAATAGAAGTCAGTTTGTAAGTTACAGTGTTCTGTTAAGATAATGCTACCGTCATCCCCCAAATTTTGGTCAAGTCTTGTTTAAGTTCTCTAGCCATGTCATAGCTTTGTTACTGGGCATCAGTGCATAGATATATTAATACTTGGTCTGGGGTTGAAAGAGGGAGCCATCAGCTCTCAGAGGCCAGGGGAGACAAGACATGATTATGAACAAGAAGCACAAGGGAAAGTGTATTAGTTTTCTGTTGCTGTTATAACAAATCACCATAAATTTAGTGGTTTAAAACAGGATGAATGTGTTATCTTGTAGTTCTGTAGGTCAGAAGTCTGATGTGGGTTTATTTGGGCTAAAATAAAGATGTCAGCAGGGCTGCATTACTTTCTGGAGGCTCTGGAAGAGAATACATTTCCTTGCCTTTTCCAGCTTTCTGAGGCCGCTGGCATTCCTTGGTTTGTTTCTCCTTCCATCTTCAAAGCAAGTAACATTTGAGTGGGTCATTCTCATGCTAACATCACTCTCACTTGCATGCTCTTTTGCCTCCCATTGCCTCTTATAAGAGCCCTGTGGTTGCATTGGACTCATCCAGGTTATCTAGGACAATCTCCCTATATCGTACTCAGCTGATTGGCAACCTTAATTCCATTACAACCTTAACTCCTCTTTACCACATAACTTAATATATTCACAGATTAGGACATTTTTGGGAGGTCATTACTTTGTCTGCCACAAGAAGTTGGATCACTCAGTCTTCCTGAGTTCTAATTTGATTGCACTGTGGTCTGAGAGACTGTTTGTTATGATTTCCGTTCTTTTGCATTTGCTGAGGAGTGATTTACTTCCAATTATGTGGTCAATTTTAGAGTAGGTGTGATGTGGTGCTGAGAAGAATGTATCTTCTGTGGATTTGGGGTGGAGATTTCTGTAGATGTCTATTAGGTCCACTTGGTCCAGGTCTGACTTCAAGTCCTGGATAACCTTGTTAATTTTCTGTCTCATTGATCCATCTAATATTGACAGTGTGGCTATTCCTCAAGGATCTAGAAATAGAAATTCCATTTGACCCAGCAATCCCATTACTGGGTATATATCCAAAGGATTATAAATCATTCTATTATAAAGATACATGTACATGTATGTTCATTGTGGCATTGTTTACAATAGCAAAGACCTGGAACCAACCCAAATGCTCATTAATGACAGACTGGACAAGGAAAATGTGGCACATATACACCATGGAATACTATGCAGCCATAAAAAGGATGAGGTCGTGTCCTTTGTAGGGACATGGATGAATCTGGAAACATCATTCTCAGCAAACTGACACAAGAACAGAAAATCAAATACTGCATATTCTTACTCACAGGCAGGTGTTGAACAATGGGAACACATGGTCACAGGGAGGGAAGCATCACACACTGTGGTGGTCTGTTGGTGGGGGCCTAGGGGAGGGACAGTGGGGTCTGGGGAGGTTGGGGAGGGAAAACATGGAGAGAAATGCCAGATATAGGCAATGGGGGGATGGAGGCAGCAAACCACCTTGTAATGTATGTCCCTATGCAGCAATCCTGCATGGTCTGCACATGTACCCCAGAACCTAAAGTACAATTAAATAAAATGTAAGGGAACCCCATCAGGCTAATAGCAGAAACCCTGCAAGCCAGAAGAGAGCCAGGGCCTATATTTGGCAATCTTAAAGAAAAGAATTTCCAAGCAAGAATTTTATATCCAGCCAAACTATGCTTCATAAGTGAAGAGAAATAAGATCTTTTTCAGACAAGCAAAGGCTAAGGGATTTTGTTACCACCAGACCTGCCTTATATGAGGTTCTAAAGGGAATGCTAAACATGAATGCAAGGACCATTATTGGCTTCTCAAAAACACACTTAAATACATAGACTAGTGACACTATAATGCAATCACACAAACAAGTCTGCATAACAACCAGCTAACAACTTGATGACAGAAACAAATCCACACATATCAATATTAACTTTGTAAATGGGCTAAATGCCCCAACTAAAAGGCACATAGTGGGCAAGTTGGATAAAGACAAGACCCAAGACCATGGCAGACAGGAGGCAGGATTAGTTTACAGCTTTGGACAGAGCTTTGGGTGGTGGCTCGCATTGTGAATTTTAGATCCAGATTGACTGCACGAATAAACTAGCAATCCTGAGAGGACCCACAGACCCTCTGAAGGAAGAGGACTGCTCCTGCAGAATCCACGACACCTCCCAAAACTGTGAGCACCCCAACTGTGGATGTGGGAAAGGGAGACTCTCCTCTCCCAAACACACACCCCTACTGGAGAAGCTGAAGATCTGTTTGGAGGAGAAGTTTCCGAGTTTATCTGGAGCTGAGTCAATTCTGAGAGCTGAGTAAAATGCAGGGGTAGAGGAAGCAGCCGAAAGGTCATGGGAGCTTGCTGGGTCCCCTAGCAGGCAGTCCTGCCTGGCACCACAGGGATCCAACCTGAGAGGAGCTGGGGGTGGTAGTGAAGTGGGGGGTAAAACTGTGTGTGTGTGTGGGGGTAAAACTACACAGGGGAAGCAAATCTCTAGCTGAACTTTGTAACAATTTGAATGGGGTGAGAAGCCTCCTGGCCAGAACTTGGGGAAAGTGAGTCTGGTGTGCAGACTCCACAGGCAGGGGAAGAACCAAGCCCTTTTCCTTCACAGCTGGAAGCCAGAGAGCCTGGGGCAGGTTTTCAAACCTGTATTGCTTCCCACCTTGAAATGGTCTGGGGCTTATTGGAGGGGCACAGTGGGAGTGAGACCAGCCCTTTGGTTTGCGTGGGAGCTGTGTGAGGCCTGTGACTTCTGGCTTTCCCCCACTTCCCTGACAACCTACCTGACTTGACAGAGGCAGCCATAATCCTCCTAGGTACACAACTCCATTGACCTGGGAATCTCACCCACATCCCCCACAGCAGTCGCACCAAGATGGCCGAGGAGAGTCTGAGCTGACACACCTAGCCCTGCCCCCATCTGATGGCATTCCCTACCCACACTGGTAGCGGAAGACGAAAGGCATATAATCTTTGGAGTTCTAGGGCCCCGTCCACCTCCTGTTCCTCTCCATAATACCACAGCTGATGCTCTCTGGAAAGTGCCCAACTGGCACAAAAATAGAACATTAAATCACCAAAACTAAGAACCTTAAAGGAGTCCATTGCACGCCCTCTCCCCCACGCCACCTCCACTGGAACAGACACTGGTATCCATGGCTGAGAGAATCATAGATGGTTCACATCTATGAGTTTCTGTACAGACAGCCCCCAGTGCCAGCCCAGAGCCTGGTAGACTCGTTGGGTGGCTAGAGCCAGAAAGAGACAAGAATCACTGCAGTTCGGCTCACAGGAAGCCACATCCTTAGAAAAATGAGGAGAATACTACATTAAGGGAACATCCCATGGGATGAAAGAATCTGAACAGCCTTCAGCCCTAGACCTTCCCTCTGACAGAGCCTACCCAAACAAGAAGGAACCAGACTGATCAGTGACTTTTCCCTGATCCTCCATTCTTCCTCTTCCAGGTGTTTACATTTCTAGCTTCTCCCACAACTGTGTTAGGTTTAATTTCCATAGTTAATTTCTTATTCCACACCTGGCATAGTGATTCTGCTTCCCTGATGGAGCCACGTATAAGGGAATGTCTCTGAGTTTTTGCATGTACTGCCTCCTCTATCTGGAATGTCTTTTTTCTTTTCTCTGTTGTGTTGCAGTCCATACTTCAAAGTTGAGCTCAGATATCACCTCTTTTATTAGTGTGACACTGTTTCTCTTAAGGGACACCATTACTTCTCCCTCTGAAGTTCTACAAGGCTCTGAACACACTTAAGTTAGAATCTTCTGCTGTCTTATAATATCTTTATTAGTGCTACTGTATCTCTGAATTCTAATACAATGTTAGGTTCATAAAAAGTACGTAAAATTTGTAGAATGAATAAATAGGAAAATATAAATATTTTAAAAATAACTCTTTAAAAAAATCTTAAATTTCTGTCCTTGAGAAAAAGCAGGTTTAATTAGAAAAAATACAGGAGTAGCACTGTACCCAGGGTTGTAGAGTAGCTCTCATGCAACTCTAGTGACTTCCGGAAGTTTGCCTGTTTTGTTGTTGCAAATGTCCCTGGAATCCTCGCATTTGGAGTTGTCCAGAAGTGGCATTCCTGACCTTTGATCCCCAGCCTTCCAATGGTGGTATACATCTCCATTTCTCTATATTAAACATTTTTCTATTAAAAAATTGCGTGTGGTGGAGGACTGACGTGGTAAAGGATAGAGGGACATTGTGTGTTTTCGTTCATTTAGCAAATATTTTTGAGCTCCTACTAACTGCTAGACTCTGTGCTAGATCTTACATATATGATAATGAACAAAATAGCAAGGTACTCACTAGCCTCAGGGGCTAGTGTGGAAGTGAGTTAAGCAGATAAACTCATATGGGAAATATCTTTATAAAGAGTGGCCAGTGCTTTGAAGGCAAAGAAAAGAGTGCAGCAGGAGAGCATAGCTTGGGAGATGGGCTTGGCATTAGTGGTCAGGGAAGCCCTCTCCAAGGAAGTAAGATTCGTAGGTGGGGACCGGATGGATGAGGAGGCAGCTGAGCAGGGCATGTGCTGGGAAACTGAGGCAGATGGAGTGAAGGGTTTGACCTGAGAAAAAACTGGCACATTTGAGGAACCAAAATAAGGAAACTGCAGCTGGAATGTTGGAGTGAGAGGCCTTTTTTTTCTTTTTTGAAAAATGGCTTTCAATAGATCAAGGTAGTCAGGTGGTTGGGGAGGGGAGTTGGAGGAGAAGAGGCAAGTCATAGGTAGCTCAAAGCTAGATTAAGAAGTGTAGATTTATATATTAAAACTCCAGCTCTGGTGCGTAATGGCAGCGCCGTGGCCTCGCGTCCATCTTTACTGTTCTCTCGGACCTGTCACAAAGGAGTCGCGCCGCCACCGCCGCCGCCACCGCCCCCTCCCTCCGGTGGACCCAGGAGCTAGAGAAAAACTGCCATTGGATGACCAGAATTCCCTGTAGCTGATAATGTTGGGAATAAACTCTGCAACTTTCTTTGGCATTCAGTTGTTAAAAACAAATAGGATGCAAATTCCTCAACTCCAGATTCTGAAAACAGTACTTGGAAAACTGAAAACTACCTAAATGATCGTCTTTGATTGGGTTCTTAGCGAGCAGAAGCCTTGGCCAGGGTCTGCTGTTGACTCTTGAAGAGCACATAGCCCACTTCCTAGGGAATAGAGGTGCCACTACTACCATGGGTAATTCCTGTATCTGCCGAGATGACAGTGGAACAGACGACAGTGTTGACACCCAGCAGCAACAGGCCGAGAACAGTGCAGTACCCACTGCGGACACAAGGAGCCAACCACGGGACCCTGTTCCGCCACCAAGGAGGGGCCGAGGACCACATGAGTCAAGGAGAAAGAAACAAAATGTGGATGGGCTAGTGTTGGACACACTGGCAGTAATACGAACTCTTGTAGATAATGATCAGGAACCTCCCTATTCAATGATAACGTTACATGAAATGGCAGAAACAGATGAAGGATGGTTGGATGTTGTCCAGTCTTTAATTAGAGTTATTCCACTGGAAGATCCATTGGGACCAGCTGTTATAACATTGTTACTAGATGAATGTCCATTGCCCACTAAAGATGCACTCCAGAAATTGACTGAAATTCTCAATTTAAATGGAGAAGTAGCTTGCCAAGACTCAGGCCATCCTGCCAAACACAGGAACACATCTGCAGTCCTAAGGCTGCTTGGCAGAGAAACTAGCAGGTCCTGCAAATAGGTTTACTTAGCCCAGGAATACTGGAATATTTGCTACAGTGTCTGAAGTTACAATCCCACCCCACAGTCATGCTTTTTGCACTTATTGCACTGGAAAAGTTTGCACAGACAAGTGAAAATAAATTGACTATTTCTGAATCCAGTATTAGTGACCAGCTTGTCACATTGGAGTCCTGGGCTAATGATCCTGATTATCTGAAACATCAAGTTGGTTTCTGTGCCCAGTGGAGCTTAGACAATCTCTTTCTAAAAGAAGGTAGACAGCTGACCTATGAGAAAGTGAACTTGAGTAGCATTAGGGCCATGCTGAATAGCAATGACGTCAGCGAGTACCTGAAGATCTCACCTCATGGCTTAGAGGCTCGCTGTGATGCCTCCTCTTTTGAAAGTGTGCGTTGCACCTTTTGTGTGGATGCTGGGGTATGGTACTATGAAGTAACAATGGTCACTTCTGGCGTCATGCAGATTGGCTGGGCCACTCGAGACAGCAAATTCCTCACCTGACAAAAACAAGCAATGGGGAAAGGATTCCCTGTTTAACAAATGGTGTTGGGAAAACTGGCTAGCCATGTGCAGAAAGCAGAAACTGGACCCCTTCCTGACACCTTACACTAAAATTAACTCCAGATGGATTAAAGACTTAAACATAAGACCTGGCACGATAAAAACCCTCGAAGGAAATCTAGGCAAAACTATCCAGGACATAGGAGTAGGCAAGGACTTCATGAACAAAACACCAAAAGCGTTGGCAACAAAAGCCAAAATAGACAAATGGGACCTAATGAAACTCCACAGCTTCTGCACGGCAAAAGAAACAGTCACTAGAGTGGATCGGCAACCAACAGAATGGGAAAAAATTTTCGCAGTCTACCCATCTGACAAAGGGCTGATATCCAGAATTTACAAAGAACTCAAACGGATTTACAGGAAAAAAACAAACAAGCCCATTCAAAAGTGGGCAAAGGATATGAACAGACACTTTACAAAAGAAGACATATATGAGGCCAACAATCATATGAAAAAATGCTCATCGTCACTGGTCATCAGAGAGATGCAAATCAAAACCACATTGAGATACCATCTCACGCCAGTTAGAACGGCGATCATTAAAAAATCTGGAGACAACAGATGCTGGAGAGGATGTGGAGAAAAAGGAACACTTTTACACTGTTGGTGGGAGTGTAAATTAGTCCAACCATTGTGGAAGACAGTGTGGCAATTCCTCAAGGCCTTAGAAATAGAAATTCCATTTGACCCAGCAATCCCATTACTGGGTATATATCCAAAAGACTATAAATCGTTCTACTATAAGGACACATGTACACGAATGTTTACAATAGCAAAGACCTGGAATCAACCCAAATGCCCATAGATGATAGACTGGATTGGAAAAATGTGGCACATATACACCATGGAATATTATGCAGCAATCAGAAATGATGAGTTTATGTCGTTTGTAGGGACGTGGATGAATCTGGAGAACGTCATCCTCAGCAAACTGACACAAGAACAGAAAATGAAACACCGCATATTCTCACTCATAGGCGGGTGATGAAAAATGAGAACACATGGACACAGAAAGGGGAGTACTAAACACTGGGGTCTATTGGGGGGAAAAGGGAAGGGCCAGTGGGAGGGGGAGGTGGAGAGGGATAGCCTGGGGAGAAATGCCAAATGTGGGTGAAGGGGAGAAGAAAAGCAAAGCACACTGCCATGTGTGTACCTACGCAACTGTCTTGCATGCTCTGCTCATGTACCCCAAAACCTAAAATCCAATAAAAAAAAAAAAAACTCCAGCTCTTTCTCAAACATAATTTTTCCCTCGCTTGTCAATTTTATTTGTGTTACTATCTGTCATTTGATCAAGGAAAATAGTTAAATACTTTCTGTAGGTAAGTATTCAAAGATTATCTGAAATCAAAATGCTTTCTCTGATTAATCTTGTTCAGTTATCTGATTGTAGGAGAACATTTTGTGTTGCACAGTTATTTGCATGCTAGTCACCTTCAGACTGGGTTATTTAATATTCACAGAAAAGAATGAGTCAGTTTGTGCGCTTGAAAAAAGTAGGTGGGAAAATGTGAAAATGTTATAATGAATTTGGCTGTTGTGTAGCCTTCTCAAATGGACTATAGAAACGATCCCTGAAAGTATGGTCTTTATGTAGGATGTGTAGGATTCTCTTAGATTAAATAGTGTTATAAGTATTTACAAATTTACCAGAGATTTTTATTTATGAAGACCTGTTTGATGTTCCTAATAGTTTTGAATCTATGATTCATTAAAAACTTGCACCATCATTCAACCAGAGTTACAACATTTTGCATTGCTCTATCTTAACTGTCATCAAATTCCTTTGGACAAAGGATTTTTTCCCCTCATTTTTCAAGGCTTACCTTTTTCTTAGTCTTGCTATCTTGTGTTTTGAAGATATGTTTTTCATTCTTTCAAGTGTGTTCATTAGGTACATGTGGTAGAGCCTAATCTGAGGACCATGTAGTATGGTTAATGGTATAGTGGAAACAGCATTGGCATTGGGGTTAGGCAGACCTGGCTGTGAATTCCAGCTCCTCTATTTACTTAGCTGTATCATATTTGTTTAGTTATATACATTTTGAAACTTATGTTTTTCTTCTTTAAAACAGAGACAATAATCTCTTTCTTTTAGGATTGGCAGGATAGAGAGACATAAAGTACAGCACAGTGCCTACCACTTGGCAGATGCTCGACTGTGTGTGTGTGGTCTTTGGCAGATAAGACAGCATTTCTTAGAATTATATTTCAAATAGAAGAAATAGATCTGCACTGATTCTTCTGTGTTCTCTTACCTTTTCCTTTATTTCCAAGCACACGTACTTATTTCTCACTTGGGAAAGAGGAAAGGGTTACTGGGTGGAACACGAGGCTGGCTGTGGCCAGGAGGGACAGCAGAATGTCACATTAGCTTGTTTCAGAAGGCATTACACCCGGGGTGGGCTGCTATGGGAAGCCCAGGCTAGTCTTTAAGCAAAAGTGTTCCTCAATCTTAGGGGAAGAAAGTGTGATTAGAAGTCAGCTTAAAAAGCAAAATCCAGGGCTATAGTCAAGAGGCCAGGTTATTTATTAAAAAATTGATTGGGAAACTTCCACGTGTCAGGCAGTATGCTAAGCACTGGGTTTACCAAGTGGGGCACAGGGTGCCGAAGAGTTTATGATGTAGAGAGGAGCCCAGTAATTACAACACTGGGCTATCATAGTGATGCGAAGCAGGGAAGTGGCAGGGATCAGAGAATTTGAAGGAGAGATGGCCATTTTACATTTTTAGGAGAGGGCTGAGTGAAAGGGTTCAAGAAAGCCTTACCTGGGCCAAGAATAAAGTGAAAAGTTGAACGATAAGAAGGTAAATTGTGGGTCACTTGGTGAAGAATGGGTTCTGAGCCACTCTGGTTTCTGGTCCTTAAAGGGAGCAAGAAGTAAAGCAAGCAAGGTAATGAGATTGATTCTGATAGCAGCTATGGGATGCTCTCTGGAGGGCCAGACATTGCTCAAAGAATAGAGAGATGCTGCCTGAGCCACTGGTGAATGTAACCTTGATCTTCCCTTCATGGACTTGAAGCAGAGATTATTTAAACAGTGCTAGTGACCTGAAATAGTTCATATGTAAGCTCTGTTGGATGTAGCTGAAAGCAGGATAATATTTACTTACAGGGTAATAAAAATTGATATTGATTTTACAGGATAGGAGAAATGGCAGTGAACTTCTTACTACTCTGGAAATTACAGTGCAATGGTGTATTTGGGAACATTTTTGAATCTTGGTTAAGTATTCTAAATCCTAACTGGAATCTCCTCATTAGGGATTTTTTTGGTGGCTGTGGGAGACTCAGAGATGGATTAAATTAGTTTATTTCTGCTCACCTTGCCCGGCAATGTCTGGCTGCACAGATGTAGTGTGAATGTGCCCTCCAGATGTTGATGTACAAGAGAATACAGAGCTCCTCAGTGGGAATGGAAGATCAGTCGTCAGATCAGTGCTGGTTATTGTCATTCTATTTATCTTTTCTTTAAAATGCACTCTCAGTAGACCCATCTCTGATTGCCTGAGGAAAGGTGCAGCTGACAGAGTAATGTATTTACCAGAAACTAGAGGCATTTGCCATCTTTCTCTGCAGTCAGGGTTTGTCAGGTTGATTTCCTAGGAAAGATTCACTTGAGAATAAGTGGGAATACTGACTTGTGTTTACATTATGAATTTCAGAATAATTGTATTCCAAAATGTTCTCAGTATCATAATTTTGGGAAAGTGAGGATTTATATAGAAAATACTCGATCTACTTTTTACTACAGTCTATTCCTATAGTTCCTGTGGTTCTCCATTCTTATATTTTATAGACACAGCTATTTAAGTCAGTAAAAATCTGGGAATTATTTGAGAGATGAGGCACAGGTACTCACTGGTTGAATTATTAAAATCCGTAAATGTAATTTAAAAACTATTAGGGGCTCTAAAAGTCACCATTTCAGCACATTGCTCCTTTCCGATTATTGCATAGAGAACTCTGTTATCTGGCTTGTTGTTTTTAAGCCACCAAGTTTTAGGGTAGTTTGTCATGCAACAATAGATAACTGAAACACTGGAGCCAATTGCACCTGGTTTATGATGGGTAGCTGGGGTCTCATTCAAGGATTTTATTTCAACTATGCCCAGTAGCAAGCTGGGAGCTATTTCTTAAAAGGTAAAACTGAAGTTACCAGCAGAGGAGAACCCCAGGAGTCTTTGCTGTCATTCCTTTATTAGGGCTTGCCAGAGACTCCTTGCCCTGTCTTTCTTTACCACAGGCACTTGGAGTTTCCCTGGATTTCCTGGTCATGAGGAGTGGGTGGCAGGATGAAGCACATCTAAGCTTGGACCTCCTGCAGAGGTTTCTCCAGTTCTGGCCCCACTCAAAAGTAGCAGCCTTAGGGATATTTGGTAAATGAGTCAGAGCACCATATCCACATGTGAGATCAATTGCCTCCAATACCCAAAACAATGCTGAATTGCTTTCCAGGGCTTATAATTAATTATCTCACTGGCAGTTTGTGAGACCTCCCAGCCCTTCACATCCTTACACATGCTTGTTATTGTGGTATCTTTTAATGTTTGCCAATCTCTTGGGTGTCACACAAAATCTTGTTGTGTTGTTAATTCATTTTGCTGGTTACTAATGAGGTTGAACCTCTTTTTTTTTTTTTTACATTTTTTATTGGTGGTTTTGTTCCTTCTTGTTGGAAACATCTGTTTATGAATTTTACCCCTTCTTTCTATTGGATTGGTCATCTTTCTTAGAGCTTTTTGATGTCATTTATATATTTTGGGTAGAATCCACATTTGCTTACTTTGGCTATTACTTCTCTTGGCAAGAAGAAATAAATGGTGAGCTACAGTGAAGAAGATTCCCCTGTCAAGGGATCTACCATATTTTCCTGGCTGCTACTTCCCTTTCTGTCTGCTTATTGCTTCACTGAGATTAGTGAAATTTCCCAGGGCTTTGTTAACTCACCTTT